ATATCGCTCTGAAATATTCCACACGTCCTTTCACCCCAAGAAGCTGCTCATTTGTTGGAACCGTTGATATCAGACCTCTATAGCAGATACCTGCCATGCAAACTGATCGATCAACATCAATTCCTTGTATGAGAAAATGTTTTATTTGACAAGATATCTTGACAAAATTTGGCATGGCTTATTGTTCAAGACAATGCTATAATCTACGAACATAGTGTTCAAATCAGACGACTCTAGCATATAGTTGCCAAACAAACTGAAAAATCATAATCAAGACAAAGTTCTTTTTATACACTTTTATGCTACAAAATAAGCACCTGTGAAGGGTATTATAGCTTCGATGCAGCCGTAGCTAGTATTTTCTTCTTATTGCTTATTGCTGTCCACTGGCCGGCATAAAAAGTGTACAAAAGTGTACAGCATCGCTAAAAACAACAATTGCATTGTTTTCAGCAGGTTGCGCTTGCCACACATACATACAAATAAAAGAGTTTCTTAATGTTACAGGCAAAAAGCATGCACACACACAAACATTTATATTTACACATACAAATATATTTCTTGGTTTTGTTACGTAAGTGCTTAAACTAAACGCAAAATCACTCAAGCACAACGTTGGTAACATACAACAACAATAACAACGCAACTGTGCTACAAAAACAATAACAATAATAATAATAATATTTAGTTAAAGCAACAACAATAATAGCAATGTAAAAAGAAATATGCACATACACACATACATCGACACAATGCACCAGCTTGTAAGTCAGCCAGTAAGCCAGCAGTGGACTCTAAAACTGCATATTAAGCATGCTTCTGCAACGTATACTCTGCCTGTCCCTCCTCTTCCTACCTAACACTACTCAGCTTAACAACAGCTTGTGAGTTGACTATTTATAAAGCTGCTGGTGGAGCTCTTGGTGTGTCTGACAGCTAAGTTGTCTATTTGGCATACATTAGAGCAATAAGCTGTTAGCTGCTAGCTGTTTTCATGTCACTACATATGTAGCGGTGTGTATATCATTCATATATAAGCATTTGAGCAGTTCAGGTTGCACCTCCATTATGTGGCATGACTAAGCCTCAGGAGGCAGGTTCGTATTAAGTTTCTCAGAAAATCAAAATGTAAACAGAAAAAAAATGTAATTATTAAAGTATAAGCAAATAAGATGAAAATGCAAAATATTGCAAACCGCTAACTGTGATACATGCCATATATGCATATGTATATCCATATATATGAATGAGCCTATATTTGGTAGATTCATAATTAGCGCTTTTTGCGGGTTTTGTTTTAATCTCAAATTTTGAGTTATTGGACTAATTTTGGCGACTATGTTCTGTGTTCACGCAAATTTTTATACTCTCGCAACCTGTTGCTACAGAGTATAATAGTTTTGTTAACGGTTGTTTGTATCACCTAAAACTAATCGAGTTAGATATAGGGTTATATATGTACAAATGATCAGGATGAAGAGACGAGTTGAAATCCGGGTGACTGTCTGTCCGTGCAAGCTGTAACTTGAGTAAAAATTGAGATATCTTTATGAAACTTGGTAAACATGTTTCTTGGTAAGACGGTTGATATTGCAGATGGGCGTAACCGGACCACTGCCACGCCCACAAAACGCCATTAATCAAAAACAAATAAATTGCCATAACTAAGCTCCGCAATAAGATACAAGACTGTTATTTGGTACACAGGATCACATTAGGGAGGGACATCTTCAGTTGAAATTTTCGAGGCACATGCAATAAAAGTGATAATTATTTAGAACTGAAATAATCTCTGCATCGATCAAAAATCTCTCAGAAGATGTTGAGTGGCAATATTTCATTTTGCTTTAAGAACAGAAAAAACATTAAAAAAGATTAGGATGCGTTAACTCTGCGACAAAATGTAAGCAATATTTGCGTTGCGAAACGTGATTTTTTTGATAACTTCTTGGCATTTAGAATGTAATTCATAATGCAACTTTTTTGGGCAACAATTTCCATTTGGGATAAGTTTTTCACAAGTTTCTCTTGAGACGAATTTATTACCAGCAAAATCATTCGTCATGGACAGGAATAGATAGTAATCACTTGATGCCAGATCTGGACAATACGGTGGTTGTATAAGAACCTCCCAACAAAACTTCTGGAGCCTCTGGCGATTTCCAATCGATGTGTGTGGCCTGGCGTTGGCGTGATGTAACACAATTTCTCTCCTTTTAGTCGAAGCTGGCCGGTTCTGTATAGATCCCTTCAAACGGGGAAATTTTTGACAATACAGGTCTGAATGAAAAGATTGGCAGTAGGAGTAACAAAACCTTTCGCATCGTCAATCCTGGCTTGGACACTGTTTGGATAGTCAATTGTCGAATGATAAAAATATTGCACGTGATTTGCTGTTACAGTATCCATAAACCACCATAAACACGATTAGCATTTTCAGCAACCTTACGTTTTCGCCTTTATCAACGACAAACTGTAAAGAAGTAAGGAAGGGTTAAGTTCGGATGTAACAAAAACATTTTATACTTTCGCAAAGTCAAATGGCATACTCGTTTGAGATTTCTTTATATATTTTAATTATAATTAGAAGTAGGAACTGTTGCCTCAGTTATTTACCGACAACACCATTTATTATATAAATTTCAATTATATATCTTACACACTGACCGATACTTTCGGTAAAAAGTCAGTTATAGGCACTGGGGACCACATATTCAGTACCTAGGGGTTTGAACAGCTTTGGTTCGATGTAGACAATTTTTGGTCACATTTTTATTCACGCAAACTTTTACCCTGATACAATCATTGTTGCCTGATGTGCATACTGGAAAGTGAAAAAATCAGATGGAATTTAAAATGATGTTACCTGGGAAATAGGCGTGGTTGTAATCCGATTTCGCCCATTTTCATACTATAAGTATAACATAGAAATATGAGAAGATTCGTTGAAATCGGTTAAGCAGTTCCCAAGATATGGGTTTCCCCTAAAAGTGGGCGGAGGGTAATTTTGAACGCGGTTCCTACAAAGTCATCTCATACAATACCATTTATAAAAATTTAATGTCTCTGGCGTCTTTAGTGCTTGATTTTTTGCGTTTTAGTAGTTCTTAACAGTACCGTTATATGGGGAGTGGGCGGGGTTATCACCCGATTTCAACCGTTTTTACACTGTCGATGGAGGTGCTAAGAACATTTGTTCTCAGTGAATTTTGTTATTATAGATTTAGCGGTAGAGATATTCACATTAAACCTACTAGGGGGCGGGACCACGCCCACTTAAAAAAAATGTAAACTGCAGATGCCCCTCCCTAATGTGATCCTGTGTACCAAATAACAGTCTTGTATCTTACTGTGGAGCTTAGTTATTGTAATTTATTTGTTTTTAATTAATGGCGTTTTGTGGGCGTGGCAGGGGTCCGATTATGCCCATCTACAACACCAACCGTCTTACGGTACCAAGTTTCATAAATATATCTCAATTTTTACTCAAGTTAGAGCTTGCACGTACGGACGGACGGACGGACAGACAGTCACCCGGATTTCAACTCGTCTCTTCATCCTGATCATTTATATATACAAGTATATAACCCTATATCAAACTCGATTAGTTTTAGGTGATACAATCAATCGTTAGGTGAACAAAACTATTATACTCTGTAGCAACAGGTTGCGAGAGTATAAATATGGCATATTTTTTTCTTTACTGGTATCCGTTATAGAAGTTTAAATGACACGAAAAGATAAGAGAATAATTTGAACGGTTGATAAAGGCCACCATTCCGCAATTTGCACCCGTTTTCGAAGAGGAAATTTTAGTTTTGCTTTGCCTGATGTTAACCAACTAGATACTATTCTACAAGTTTTAAGCTTCTACGGCACGTCAAGATAATATTTTATAAAAAGACACGAGTACATAATTAATGAATCCGTAATCCATCACAAATTGTCTATTTTATAATATTTTTAATCAAATTTACTTATTAAATATATACAATATTTCAACCAAATTATTTTATGTGTAAAGCGTATGTATCTACAAAACTTAGATTTTCCCTATTGTAGCATCTTTTTGTAGACGTCTCTTATATGCTGCAAATTGTCATACATTAACGTTTGGCTCCATTTAATTGCTAGTTTTTCATTTTCGCCAGCAGAGTTTTTCAGGTTTACCATTTTTTGGTCTAAGCAAACAGATTTTTATTGTCTTAGTCGCTGCCACACCACACTCATGTTTCCACATATACCTATGTACATATATTGTGTGCTTTAAACTTTATTGGCTGCTAGCTAAGCATGTTGTAAATGTGTTCCACAAAGCTAATTTATTGGCGTGGGTTAATTAGTTTAGCACCATTTTATTGTTTCTTTTTATCGTCTCCTGCTTGTGGGAGTCTTTAGCAAGTATACAAAAGGTGCTCGTAATTAGTTCGGGTTATTTTGACAGGTTGTTAACAATTATAATACAAATTTTAGTACAAATTTAACGGTAACAAAGAAATGATGTGCACAAACAATGTAAGTTGAATTTATACTGTACACTGCTGAAGAATATAAAAAACACTGTGTTAGTGTGTGTATAGAAATATTCAGCGCATAACTGTAAATAATAACCGTAAATGTCTAACAAATTTTGGTACCATTGTGAAATTTTGGTGACAATTTGGTAAAACTTAAATATTCATTAAATCTGCAGTGTGAAATATTATTTTATGTATACTTTCGAATTATTAAGTTATATTAACAAAAATATAAAAAAAAGTATTATATATTTTTATTTAAATATACATTCTAACAAACAGTATTTATATATTTCAATTAATACATAATGTCTCTAACAATTGTATACATCTTTTTCACAGTGTAAGCCACATTTATGACATCTAACTAGCATACTTTTAGGCGCATTATGAACTTTACAGTCATAACGTTTATATTAAGCCAGCTGTAACCCTGAGATTACTAATATATCCATATATTTTGTCTTTATTTCTCTTCTACAGAAGAATGGATAACAAAAAGAAAAACCGAACTTACAACAACACGCCAGATAGAGACACGTGTGAAGCGACAATTGGTGCTGGCGGATGGCAAAGTAGTGGAAGATTCAGGGCCAATTGTCTCGACGAATACGACGGAGGATACAGATAAACAGGAAACGGAAACAACAGAGGTGAGTTTGACACGCAAAAAAAAAATGCAAACATAAATCTCTATTAGTACATACATACATAAAGGCATGAATGAAATTTTTAAGTTATGTGAATGAGTTAAATAAAAAATGCAAGAGTATCAAAAAAATTAAAAAATTCCTATAATAAAAATAAAATAAGAAAAAATATAAATAACGCAATTCGATAAATCAGATTAAAATTATGTCAAGGAGAATAAGTGAATATTGCAATACAATTCTATCTGTTTAAATTGAAGGGTAAAAACTCTAAACACTATTTTCAAAGGAAAACCAATTTAAATGAAATAAAGCTTAAAGAAAATTTTAAACCGAAATTCCGAATTCGAGTGATATTTTTAGATGTTTTAATACTTCTGACGTGAATTTATAGTAAAAGAAGTAAGGAAAGTTTAAGTTTGGGTATAACCGAATATTTTATACTCTCGGAAGGTAAAGGGTATACGATTAAATACCTTAAGGGGGTCATCCCATGTGACGGCCGTTTTTTAAACGTTTTTCCGGAATGTTTTATAGTGAAATAAAAAAAAACAGAGCTTCCAAATTTTTATTATATATTTATTAAGTCTTTAGGCATAATTTTGAATTTTTAATTAAAAATATTTTGTTAACTGTGAAATGTATCCCTCCAATGGCACCCATGTTGAAAAAAGGTAGAAAAACGGCGTACATGATTCCAGTAGACTGGCTAACTTAAAATATAAAAAAACAAGTTGCACGTAAACTGCAGGTACTAGGTTCTTTTACAAATTTTGTAAATTTAATTTTTAAATACTTTTAAGCATTAAAACCCAAAATTTCATGATTTTTTGCGACTATTTTTTCATGAAAAAAAATGGTTAAATATTTTATTTACCTTGTTCCGGCGATAAAAAGAAATATAACTAAAGTTTTCCTACGTTTTTTATAATCGAAAATATTTACTTCAAAGCCAACAATATGGACGAATAGTATATTTGATGTATAGGGATTAGCATAAGATATTATGTTATATACCTGTTTTTTACTCATTTTAGAAAGATTAGACCATAAATTTCTCTACCTTCAAACATCGAATTCGCTTAGATTTGGTTTTTAAATTATATAATAATTTTAAGTATAGGCACATGAAAGGATGAAATTATGTTTTAAATCTAATTCTACCAAACTCATTTAATATAAACATTAGGGGGAGCAAAAAAATAATAATCCATCGCATTTATGGGACGAAATGACCTTACACATGTACAGAGTAAAAATATCCGTGCAAGGCAGGATTTTTAACTTAATTTTTAAAGGTGTTGGTGAGAATTCAAAGGTTCTCATACAAATAACATGTAAAAAATTTATTTTCATTAAAATGACCATAACTTTTGAACCGTTTTTACTTCATGCATTTTTGTAGGGCATAAAATTTCCTAAAAAATCTATATCAGAAGAATTTTTTTTTTCAATTCAAAAGTTCGAAGCTTTCTCTGTATATAGTTTAATTTTTTACCCATAGAAACAGTAGTTTAGTTTTTGGCTCACTCTAACGCACATTTAATAAAGTTTTAATATACAATAATGAATAATAAAATGAAATCCAAAAATTCCAATTCCATTTCAGAAACGCGATTTAGGTATACCCATCGATAGTATAGCAGTGGAGGTCAATGGCGGTGCACTCGAGGCGCCTGACACCGTTGACGGTCAAGTGGCTGTGCTGCCAGCTGAAAACTCCAAAATTATTCAGAAAATGGTGCCGCGCCCAGCAGACGGGCTAGTACGCGAATCGAACGACAAACGCGTGATTACACACGAAGAGGTCAAGGATTACTTAGAAACGGAAGATGTGCGCAATCTAGGCGATTTCTCGGACGAAGTGAGTGGAACGACCTTTTCTGTTATTCACATTTTTTACTTTTTTTATTTTTTGAACTCACAAACTTTATTGGGTCACTTAAAATTGTATTGATAGAATTGAATTTTGTGGTAGCTGTGGCTTGTAGAACTGTGCTGTAGCAAATCGAAATTTGCTACGGCTTCAGCACGCGTTCTACATTTAAGCTGAAGAATGAAAAAAAAACACACACACCAAACCCATTTCTAGCTACCAACAGTTGCAAATGCAAATATTTGCCAAGCAACTTTGTATTATTGGTCTAGACTCTAGACTCTAGACGAAACAAATGGACACACATACAAACACACAGTAACGCGGCATAGGCATTTTTGACTATTCGCAGAAGTTTTACAAAAAAAAAGTACTAATAAAATATATGCGGTTTATTGTTAGATACTTGTTGTGTAGCCAGCTGGCTGACTGGCTGTTGGTTGGCGGCTGCGGCTGCGGCAGCGACCTGATAGGCAGGCAAGCTGGTTGGTCTTAATATTACCCACAGTCCGGTTATCGAAGTTGAAGTACTCGTTGCTTTGGTTGCATTTTTTCTAGCCAAATTGCGAATTTTCAGCTAATAATGAGGGAAAGGCAAATTTATACGAATTTTTAATGTGTGCATAAGCCCATTGTGGTGCGCTTAAGCCGGTGGCATTTAGTGCAAAATATTGCTTGCGATTAAATGCAATTATTGCTGATATCCAAGCACTTATAAATAAATCGTTATATTGGTTTGTTTGTGTACACGAGTATATTTGATAAGGTATGCTAGCTTTAATGCAGAGTAGAAGAAATTGATGCGTATATAAAGCTATATTTATATAGAATTTAATGGCAACTTTTGAAATAGTAAATGCTTGACTAAGTCGTCCATCCTATTTCTGTGAATTGCCCATCCACCTCTTTTAATGACGATAACATGAAAAAAGTTAAAAAAAAAACAGTGTTTGATCCTTCTGTATGCATCGTTCTGTAGGCATTAGAGAGATGGTAGAAGATATCATATCGATCGGCTCAACACATCTTGGTTAACCGACGTTGAGTAGCGGTCGCAAAAGAGACTCTTGATAACGCAGCTTAGAACCCTACATTCAACAAACGTATCTTTACTGGTGATGAGGTGTGGATTTATGAATATGACATCGAAACTGTAAAAAAAATCTAGCGAATGGCAAACCAAAAATGAGAAAACAAAAATTTGCTGACGGCAAAGGCGCGAGGCTTATAAAAAGTGTAGCGAAAGTTGGATTAAGTCTTGAATTGCTTGTACTGGCTCAAAAGGAGCCCATTGTGATGGCTATAATAAAGATATTTATTAAAAGACGTGATTAGGTTTTCTTTTTGATAGTCCGTGACAAGTTTGATCAGATGACATTCTTAAAAAATAACATATTTAAGGATTTGAAAATCCCGTTCTCTTTTACCTTGATATTTACATTTTTTTCCCTGACATTGTTTAGAAATTTTCTGACAGAATCAATTTACCTTCTAAATTATTTTAGTACATTGATATTATCAAATCGATTGAGCAAATTGTCTCAATGATATTAGAAATATATTCGAGGAAAAAATAATAATACTATGACTTATTTGAACTCGGCAATATGTTGTTTTCACATTAATACCCCTCCTTGGCACTCGTACCGCTTCTTCATTCGACTTATTTATTTCTCATTACCACCTCGCAGAAGCTTTTCGAACATATAATCCACTATTTTATTGGCCATGACAACTGTTTTAAAAGTACCGTAATGTACAATCTCAATAAATTTTATCGAAATTGACATCGTGAAAGAACATCTTGGAACAATAATAGGATCAAATTTATATCCACAATAATCATTTCGAGAAGATTTGGAATTTAATTGATCTTATTCTGGTGTTTAGGGGATTCAATATGGTTATAGAACTTTTTTATTAGTAGAGGAACGCGACCAGCGGTTCGTCCGATGATTAACATTAATCTTGCAAATTTCAATTACCAAAGTTGAAATGAAGGAGTTTACATTGTTGTTCTTATGCTATACTAAAACGTTGATCAAAACTTTCAAAATTTACTTCGTCATTTTCTTTAAAGAATATAAATTTTCTACCATACTTTAGTGGTATACCATCTACATTCTCCTGGGTACCATGTAGAATGCAACTATCTACTCAGCATGCGATTTAGCGCAGTTTAGCTGAAAAGTTAATTACTTAGAGTTTTCTTTATTTAACGAACTTCTTTAAACCTTCTCACTCTTTAGAAAATACCTATCTGGAAAAAATATTTCGTCGAACAGCAAAAAACATATAAAATTAAGTTTTTTCTCGCCACTTTGAGGCGGCCACTATAATTAAAATCGTTATAAATTAATTTTAATTTAATTGTACAATTTTATCTGGACTTGTATTTTAATCTATGATCCATGAGTTTGCAACCAAGCTCAAACAAAAGCAAAAATTTCGCATGGGGACAAACTCTGAACTATTAATAGTGCACATTTGTTATGCTAACCATTGAAATATGTGTTTGAACAAACGAAATTATCCGATTTAATGCTTGCTAATGCACCCGGTTTGCTGTATTACTATTTGCACTAGAGTCAAACTCAATAGCTATGCTCCAAAAATCAAACTCTTCGTTGCCCTTTCGTTGTGAGAGTCAGAAAGCATCATCTTCAATGCGAGAGCAACTTCTTCGTGTAGACAGCCAACATACACACACACACGCAGTTTTGAAGAGTGTAGGCTATAAACTTGTCTTTATTTTTATCCACTTTGTGGCCAAAGCGAAAATCAGGTTTGTTGCTGCAGTCTTTGTTTCATAAACCAACCCTAAACAACTTCAATTGTTTCTAAAAAACAAAGCAACAGCACAATAAATGTCAGCAAAGGAGCGCTCAGCTGTATTCTAGCAACAAGAAACCCAAGAAAACAACAACAAATTAATGATTATATAAAAGCGAAAAAACAAAACAACAAAAGCAAATACCAAGCAGCCACAACCGGAGATGAACACTCTAGTTTGCTACGAGATTTAGTATAGCAATGGCGTTGTAATAGAATCTGCACACAACTCAAGTCGTAGTTAGTTAAAGGTGCCACAAAATTTGCTCAGCGCTGACGAGTTAGGATTGCAAATACCAACAACTTTCAGCTCTTTCTTTTCTCCGAAGTTTGGCTTTCATTAGAAGTTATGCCTTGGCTGGCCATTAAGCAAGCGCTCATCTCCATTAGCAACAAAAACGTAGCATGCCAACTTGTAGAACAACAACAAAACAAACACCGGAACGAGTTGCATCATGGTGCCGAGGTGTGCGGCTGCGGCGTAGCTGGCTGCGGTTACCGTCGAATCCATAGCTATGACTTTAGATGCTATGGTTATACACATAAGCCCGAGTTACAGAACGGCAGCGTCACCATGAAGTTGACTGAGCTATAAACTCGAAGAAAAAGCCACAGCCACAGCCACAGAGTGGTAAAACAGACAACAACTACACTTTGGAAAGTCGCTGGCGCGTTGGTGCGCTGCTCAAGTGCTTCGTGTTGGTAGTGGTCGTTGGCAGCAAAAAAGTATCTGTCTCTTCGTGGCTGAATGTTTGCCGCAATCAGTTGTTATTTGGCATGCGCGACGGTCAGTTATAGTTTTGAACGCGCTTTATCGATGGTGTGGCTTGTGCGGAACGAAGACAAGTAATCGCTGGCTTGAGGAGGCGAACGTGTGTATGCAAGATACAGTTCATATTTCTCGCTCATTTCGTGTATGTTTGTGTGTCTGTGTTTTTTTTCAATAACAATAATAATAACATCTTATTCTGTTTATAACTAACATGGGGTATTATGCAAATTGGAGAACAGGGTAGAAGAAAAAGCAAAAGAGGAAGAAAAGACCGAAGGCACTCGACTTGCTTTCACACTAATTAATTAATTATAGAAAATATTAAGTGTGTTGACTGAGCAGGCAATGAAAAAATGTTGCGAGTTATAAGAAAAATTAAAAAAAATTATTAGAAAACAAATTTATAAAAATTTTGAAAGAATGTTTATTATAATAAAAAAAATGTATATTATAAAAAATTTTAAATTAGCAACAAAAGATTATTTGCAAAAAAAATAAATTAAAATAATTACAAAAGGCATTAGCTTTTGTTAATTATTATACATAATTAAAACATAATAAAAAAATCTATAAATTAAACAAAATTAAAGTAATACTAAAAAAAAAAATAATCTAAAATAATTATAAACAACATTCCTTATAGTTAATCATTATATTAAATAAAAAAAATAGTAATATAAAATATAAAAGAACAACAAAACATAAAATAACAAATTACAAAGAACTCCAAAAAAATTAAAATTGAAAAAACCCACATAACGGTAACTGCGGTCGAAAATCGATTTAATGCAACCTTGGAGTTACAAAATAGAAAAAGAAACCGAAACAACAAAAATTAAACAAATGAAATGAAATACATAATTAGCAGTGCATAAAATATAAATACAACAATTCAAATAAACACAAACAAAACAACAACAAGCATGACACTTCATACAACGTAACAATTGTGAAAGACAATCAAATAAATAAACAAAATAAAAGCTACAAATATCTAAATAAAACATCAACAACATTACATAGCCGATCAGATACAGAAACCAAATACAACAGAGCAACAGAGAAAAGGTAAAATTGTGTATCACAAAAGTGTTGCGTCGATTTTAAATCCAGCAAGCGGCCGCGGTGATGATGGCTGCTGCTCCAACGGCCTTCTATGAACACCTCCTTTAACCGCCGACCTCAGCCACGCACTGAGCACAAGCGTTAAACGGCCTTTACGATTACATGCACACATACATATGTATATGTATATTCCGAGACGATGATAATGGTGTTTAGTGCTGCAGCCAACTGACTAAATGACACAGCCATAGCAATCGCATGTTGTTGTTACTGTTATTTATGGCAGTTATGCCGTTGCTCTTGCTTTTGCTGTTGGGCG